GGAGAATGCAGCTACAGAACTTATAACTGAGCTTGTTTCACTCTCTGTTTCCTAATTGATTCCAAAATCGTAGAAGATCGAAGAAGGCGGTTTACTTACCACAATGACACTGCCCAAGTAATCTCTAAACGTGTCACGGAAGCTCCTCATGTATCACCGTACACCTGAATCGGTGTCCTTCCTCTCAAGACAGGCAGTGAATCACAGCCTAACGAGATGTACTCAGGATTTCTCCTCCCTGATTTGTCGGTGTAAACCAGGTCCGGATTCTTGCTTATTTCTTCAAGCACCCATGGCGGCAGAGGATGCTGAAAATTCCCATGTTCACCACATATTATGCTTCAATTTGGATAACTTTGTTTTCGTTTTATTTTAAACTATCAGTACTATTTGGTGACTATATTTCTACACAGGAAAACGTAGGAAACTTAGAAATAGAGACGGATATACCTGCAGGTGTCTCCGACATTGCCTCCACACTGATGAAAAGACATAACAACCTGAAGCTTCAAGTCATGCTTGTGCACCATGTTGACAAGCTCAACATAGGCATCCCAGTTGTAATTCAAAGGCCATCTTTCTCCACCAAACCCCACCAAGCATCCACCATCACTCCTTCAACTCCGGCGCTCTTGAGAGCCACCAGACTCGCATTCATCGCTTTCGCCTTATTCAAAGTCCCTCCCATCGTCACTGTGTCTAATGGCAGCACACGAACACCGGCACCTTCATCCACTCCTTGTGGTTGCTGTGATTGTGACCACGCGCAGCCGAAGGCGCGTGCACCTTCTCCACCTTCTCATTCTTCCTCCTCGTGTGATGATGGCTCGAGTGCTGCTCTGATGATGACGACGATGACTGTCACGTTTGGCTGGTGATTCGTGCATCGAGGGTGAGTGCTTGCTTGCAGGCGGAGCCATGGCTTTATTTTTGCGAAGGAAACTGAAGCAGAGACGACGTCGTCGAGAGCTTTGGGCTCTTTCTGGTTGATGAAAGAAATTGAAGAACGAAATGCTAGAGCCATTTTTGTGTTTGCAGGGGAAGACGTAGGCACATGTGGTGGAATTAGAATTACTCAACTTGGAAAGCCGTACTTTATGGGGAAAGAAATAGTTCTAATTTCGGAACTGAACTGATGAACTCGACAAAATTGGTGGGGTCTCTTCGAAAAGTGAAAAAAGCGCAAAAAATCAAAGCTAGTCGGCTCACATTTGGAATGGATTGAGATTCTCCTCATTCCTCCTTTTTCTTTACGTGGTTTCCACCTCAGCTTCTCCTTTCCCTACCTCACCAAAACTTTTCTCAAGCTTCCATTTTTAACGGATAACCACCTAAACCGTTTGAATGGTTGTGTCCTCAACTGAGAGGGTCGAAGGGGGCCGTCCCCCCCCCCCCCCCCCAAAAAAAAAAAACTTCCTCGCCAAAATTTCTAGAAGAAAGGAAGTGAAGTGATTTGGAGGGGGAGAGGCATGTGGGAAGATTGAAGGAATTAGTTCAGTGAATTACTGTTGCTGAAGATCATAGTTCTCATCAATGGCGAATGAAGGAAGCAGTGGATGGTGAGGGGAAAAAAGGTGGGCCCAGTTATTGTTGTTATTATTTTTTTCTCAAAAAGTTAAAAGCTTGTTGCGAATCTTATTTATAAATTATTTTTAATATATTTTATTAAAATTAAAAAATTTAAATTTTATTAATTTTATCTTAAAATTTAATAATGTTTTACTTTTATTCTTAATAAATATTCTTAAATTTTATTATTAATATTTTTATTTAAAATATTTAATAAAATAAAATGTAAAAATGATTATTAGAAAATAAGTACTTTATAAATAAGATCAATTTTTTTTTTCTCTCTCTATTTTAAAATAGGATTAGAGGAGTATTATGATAAGTGATGTTTATATATTGATATAGAACATATTTATTTGCAAGGATATCATATAACAAGGTCATTTCAATTTTACTCCCCTCATCTCTATATATAAGATGTTTTTTAATATAATTATGCAAATTAATAAAAGTTGGTTATCTAATTAAAACCACAATAACATTTCAATTTTTTTTCCTAATTATTGTAAATAAAAATAATTTTTTCAAAGTAAATTAATAAGAGTATTTTTTTTCTCTTTCTATTTAATAAGGATATAATGGTCCATTTATTAAAAAATGCTAACAGCCCTTTATATTTAGAAATAAAAAAAATTCTAAAAAATTTTTTTATATAAAGACGAGGAGTAATTTTTTATTATAATTATTTTTATCATCCCTTGAAATGCATTTTAGCTAGATTCTTTAATTTTTTTTTTAAGTGGCAAGTTATATAATGATTTTTTTAAAAAATTATAAATTCAAAAATATGGCTTTTAAAATATTTTATATAATATGAAACAATTTTTTCATTTAATGATATTTTATAAGTTATAAAATTATTTTTAAAAAATAAAATATAAATACACACGCATTAAATTTTTAAAATGGTCCCCCCACAGATCTAGCTTTTTCCGCGCTTGGGTTGAGGATCAGTTTGATTCATAAAACATGATAAAATATTTGACTGTAACTTTCGTTGTTTGGTCATCCAATTTTAATTCCACTTTACGACATTGGACTGATCAAAATTAATAACGGAATTGTCTAAAGAAAAGAAAAGTAAATGAGAAGAATTGATAGTCGAAATATCCTGACATGATGCAAACCCTTTGATATTTTCTTCCCTTTCCCAGGAGAAGCAAGCGGCATCAATTTAGCATCTCATTTTTCCCTCACCCGATTGATAATTTATGAGTGGCATTGTGTTGCCACCGTTAGACAAACCCCACCAAGTCAGCTTTACGAACTGGTTGGTTTGTTTTCGCCGCGTGCCTTGCGTCTTGTAACTTAGTTTTCGTGGATGAAAATATCTTAGAAATAATAATAATAAAAAAATTCTCTTGGTTCTGCTTCAACTTGTTCAAGATAAGGAACCCTAGACATGTGTGGTTTGCAGCAAGTCTTGTGCTATTTTTTCATTTTGTAGTTTTTGTTATTCTTGTACCCTTGTTTCAGCGTGTCTCTCAAGTATTCAAATCTATACGCGACTTTTCCAGTCTCACTTGCTATATTAATTAACAGTAGCATTATTGGGGTTCTCATTAATTAGAACCTGACTGCTGACTAATGAACACCTTGTGGTTGTATAACTGAAGATAGGATCAGATTAAAAGTCTTCTCTGGAATATCTACCACTAAGTTCTCTTGTAACTGCAAAGATTAGTGACTGCATGTGCCTGCTGATCTGCTAAATTCAAGATTTGAAAGAACTGAAATGTATTTTCTGCACTTTTTTGAGTTATCTCATTACCCCATTGCTAATTAAAGAAATGACAAACTAATCATAACTTTTGGGTGAATCATATATTAACTGGAGACATTAGTATGTTTCAGGAGATAATACTATTTCTTAGACTGTTATAATATTTATAGATCTACATGCTTAGTTGAATCAAAACCAAGTACTTAATTAGGAAAAAAAAAAATTGATCAAGCAATGTGTAGTTGAAGGCATCAGCATCAAGGGAATGAAAGTACTGAAGTGGGACAGAGAAATGGAGGGACAAGTTGGTCGTGTTGTTAATTCGAATCTTGAAGGAGCTTTAACAGACAGATGATGTTTTGTAGTGTATTGTAGGAAGGTCCTAATTAGCTGAGCTGTCCTTGTAATGCACAGCCCTGCCATTGTATGTTTCTGCGGCCGAAATGAATCCTTATCTCTTAATAACGTTTCTGCCTCTTCCTCTTTCCACTTTTTTTTTTTTAAGAAAGAAAAATCAACTAACCGGAAACCCCGGTGGGAAAGATGTGCATGCAACTTCAAGGAACACAAAAACAAGTGGATAATTTTGTTGTTGTGTCGAATCAATACAAAGTTTGAAAACATTTTAAACGCTATTAATAATTAATACTCCCTTCTACATCACAAATTGTCATATGTAGGCACAAAGCCATCTTTGTGTGTGTGATATGTGTACAAGCAATCTCAAAATATCAGAAGAATGAATATTCAGAACTCAAGTTTGGATGGGATTTGCAGTTATGGGTAAATGGGATCACTGATCAGACTTGCTCTTTCTTTTCTTTTTTAAACAATCAGACTTGCTCTCTCTCTCTCTCTCTCCCCCCATTTTTCTAAGGCGTTATTTGGTTCCAAAACCTCTCCCCGAAATTAGGAAGGAGCCCCCCTCCTCTCCCTCCCCCTCCATCTCCTCCCCTTCTCTCTCCTCCTCTCTCTTTGAACCAAACAGAGCTTAAAGAAAATCTACTGAGTTTCATTGTATCTGCCCACAACACCCCAAAAAAAAATTAAAAAAGCTGATGCACTTTTTCTTATTTCCACGTGTAGGATAAGCTGCTGCTTATCTCTGCACTTATTGACTTATAGATAAGCAGCAGCTATAGGGGCAGTAGGGTCCCCTACATCCACCAATCCTGTAAGCTTTGCATCATTCAAATTTTGCTTGTTATATGGTAGTCCTTTGCTAGCTATCTGCCTTTCACCAGCTTCGAAACCACGCGCAATGATTCTTGATCCAACGGAATTTGATACAATCTCTAGTTTCTTGATGTATCTCAAGTACTAATTATAGTCTTAATGTCTTGTACTCTATAGCTACTGTCTTCTGCAACTATAGCAACTGAATCTAATATGATTTTAGTCTTATCTCTCAATTTATCCGGGCATCAGCACCCGAGTCAAGGAAATAGTTTGTTCATGGAAATATAGTTTCTGACTTACAGTGATAATTATAATTGCTTAGCCTCTAAGCAGATAGCAAGTAGTGAGTAACTGGTGAGGGCTTTGGCATAGTTTGCAAGAAATTTAAGGTAATATCTCTTTAATCACACTAATACATCATACTACTAAAATATAAATAAAATAGGGTTTTCAAAAGGGGTGAGGGGGGCGGGATTCCTCAGGGTCCCCAGATATTTTCATACGAATTCGCAGCGAATTGCACATGCAAATGATCAGAATACTAGTTTAAAATCCGTGGAGGATTCTCAGATTGATCTATCGCTTTCACGTGCCTGGTTCCCACTTCAGCAAATTATGCAAACCGAGCAACTAAGATATTTAGCAGCAAGGTAGAGATGAAGCTTGTGAAATAGCAAGAACAGAATATTCTGAAGGAATCTTCTGTATCCTATAATAACATATATCTTTTAAATTTTCTTTTGGTTTATCCTATTCTGATATCTTATTTACCTTGTACTTGAATTTAAAAGTTAGATCCTATTCTTTAGGAGTTAGGATATCTAGTGTATCGATTTATTCTACACCATCACATATACTTGTAAACCTGATTTCCAGATGGAATAAGAGAGAATCAGAGGAATGTAATGAATCTCCCTGAAGCCTCTGATCACCAATTTCTCCATATTTATATGACAACTATCTTGTAATATTTAATCAACAGCCTTCAGAGTCATAACTGCAAGGTCTATCTCTTGGACGAATAAGAATATATAAGATGTGCATTGATGAATATTCAGCTATTCTGCGAGGGGAAAAACAGATCCGATTCGGTCACCAAATCGATAGCACTTGATGTTAACTGAATATGGACCAAGCTGAATGTGATTATCCTCCTCACCCACGTAGAAACATAGAGTATACAAGGCAAGTTCGAATTCTGGGCTCACCCCAACGAAAGTGCTCGACAAAGATTTCAGAACTCCATTCCATTCAAACTGAATCGTCAGCAGCTGAGTTTCAGAATCTGGCTGCAAGGACACAATAGCAAATACTAGAAGTTTACAATGTCATGGTTGCAGCTTAAATCAGGAAATACTAAGTTATACCAAACAAAATAAAAAGATGATCATAGAGGCTATGCCATTTTACAAAAATGATTTATTTGAAAGTATATTATATGATTTTGATGTATAATGCAGAAAGTTTACTTGCATTTAGTGCAGTAAAATTAGCATTCCATACATAGCGAAACAATCTATGAAAAATCTCTGGTCCAAAGAGAAACAATTCTAGCAACAGTAGGCTAATGGCTATCCTTTTTGGATGATAAACACCAGAAACAATAAGAAGTTTCATCATTTTCAAAATATGCTTTCAATTAAAAAAGGTCGTAAAGAACATAGACCTAATTGAAAATGTTTTCTGGGAAATTAATTTCCAGTGAAAACATTTTCCACAATCATGCTATCTTTGGTAAAATAAAAGGAGCCTTAATCTGTTTACAACAATAATCATAACACATTGAACTAAGATATTATACAATTCTGGCTTCCCGCAGCTCGGTCACTAATTATTCACTCCATTAAGGCATACCATTACTCTGGTAGATAAAGTTCTCAAACAGTAGCAAGCACCATACTATCCTTGACACCATAGCTAATTGAAAGTATTCTAGAATATAGATTAAATTTATTATTGCTTCGCGTACTGCAGAAAATATAGGTCCTGAGTCCTGACATTCAACTTAAGACCTAAGAATTAGCATGTATCTAGAAGCTATTCATTTAACTCAAGTTGCCAATCATTTTTCTTTGTCTACTCAATAATTTTATACAAGTAGATTTTGAATTATCATAATCATATTAAACAGGATGATTAATTCTCGCAAGGTCCTGCAAGAGAAATTTACATTCGTCTTACTGATTAATGCAACTTTCCTGAAGTTTTTAGCACTTAATGCACGTGGCCACCATGTGGATGAAGAAAATATAATATAGATCAACCAAATGAGTTTGGTGTCCGAAAATATTTTGACAAGATTTAATCCCATAATTCTTGTAGATGCAGGTAAAAATACGCTCAGCATTAAATGTTGAATTTGAGCATGCACATAGATAAAGTCACTGACAATATCGCCCCGCCTACGAGGAAAGATGTAGCCTTGATAATCAACCCTCCCTTTTGCTTCTTCAAGGTACAACTGCTCAAATACATCATTAATCAATAAGTGAAATGAAAAATAAATATAATGTCATGATAAAGACAAAATAAAACTTAAAAAACAAAACTATGAACTATCAGCTCAAATCTGTCCATTCAATAACTTCAAAACGCACAAAGAAGTAGAAAGCTGATGAAAAGAAGCATTACCAAATAAAGTAAGCAAATTAATCAGCAGATCCGAGTAAAGAGCAGTAGATAAGCAGCATGTTAACAGGCTATTCACAAATAAAAATACCGTATATTACAAGCATGAACCCCATTGTAAGTAGGAAAAGTGTAGATACAGCCAACTCCAACAACACAAGACTGCTGGTAGGTATCACCTGAAGTGTTGACTAAGTTATGCTCTATGGACTACTATTTACAATACCAGTGGATGGTTCTATTACCTATGGTATTAAGGACACATCCACAATCCAACAATTGGCTTATTTATGACCCTTCCAATATTTGATTATATGTCAAAGTGATGGTTGATAAGGGACTCAGATATGATATCCCGATTCCTAATTTGATATCACCTTTTATTTGGCATCAGTTATAAATACATTCCAACAAGTAGGGCGGAAATACAAGGTCACACACCTGAAGCCAGTTATGAAAGCCAGAAACTTCTCCATTTTGCTTGATTTCTCCAACAAAAACGTGTTCAAATGCAGAAGAAGAACAAGAAGTACCACCTCGACAATAAAGTTCAAACCAAAGACTGTTAATCATTCTTTTAAAATCCTGGTAACTCCCCGATGCAATGCCCTTTGATACAAGATACTTATGAAGATATTTGACCGGTGCTGTTCTGCAGATTTCTTCTATGAAAGCAGCTTGCTCTTGTCTCTCTTCAGATGTGACAACTTCCTTGTATCCTTGCTGAGGATTGTAGTTATCTAGAAGTGAACAAAAACGAGCAAATGTAGGCTTTCTGAACGCGTCATCACAAACCCAGGTAAAAAGGTTCCCTTGTGCCATATCTTCATTCTGGCAAACCTTTTTCCCTTCACCGCAATCAATTTCATAATCTTTGCCAGGCACCAAACGGGCCAAATCAAGATCCCAAAGTTTACTACAAGCTTGTGACAAATCAGCAAGTTCGTCTTCAGAGGGCTCAAGAGTGGCACCAATTTCAATGTCATTTGAGTATTCTTGCTCGTCAGCAGGTACTTTATAACCACCCCAGTGGTCCTTTATAATCTGTCAACAAGTTGAAAGGGTACATTTTTCAGTGAGCTTTGCAGTATGAAGTAATCTGGACTGATTGCATCCCACACTGACTAAGTTGATTAAACGTATCATGCCTGGTAACAACATTACCAGCATCCAAAAAAATAAATCATTTCAAGAGAAAAGAGATAATTCTAGTTCAATGTCTTTTGCCTAAAATGAATCATCAAGAGTCATCCTAGACGCCATTTAGAATAAACCTTGTGTGACTTCCTTGGAGGTTTCTTGCCAACACTTTGCCATCCACCGTCATTTTCTTCATCCAGCTGAGAAAAATAAAAATAAAAATATTTTTTAATTGGGGGGACAAAAAAGCAAGGAGCCTACTCAAAACTTTCTAAAATGCAACGCATGCGAAAAAGCTAAAACTCAAACTGAGATAAAGGGGAGAAAATTCACCGTTTGGGGTCTGCTCGAAGTGTTACAATTCTCAGCTTCCCACTTCTCCTGCTGGGGACTATACTGTTCCTGAAATGATCATATTTGTCAACAAAGACACAATATAGTTCGCGCAATTAGGTGTTTTTCTACAATTTAAGGAGTATGACTATTTGACCAACTAAATAGATCACCTTATGGGGCTTGTACGAAGTCTTGTAAATATCGTCTTGCCTATTTTCTTGCCCGGGACGATATTGATCCTGCAATCACCGAAAAGATGTCAATATAAATTAAATTCTACATCAGTTGTGAGATTAGAGTGTCAAGATCGATTTTTTTTTTTTTTGAAGAAAAAAAGATTTCACCTTGTGGGGTCTGGTTGAAAGTCTGGAACTGTCAACTTCCCACTCCTGCTCAGGACGAGATCGCTCCTGCCAGTCAAATTCGCATTTTATCACAATTTTATTTTCGAAAACTTCAAGTTCATATCACAAAAGGAAAAAAAAAAAAAACAACGTCCACGATCCCAAAACCAAGTCCAAGCGCAAACCTCTTTATTCCAGTTATTTCCACCGTACCCATGTCTGCGATCACCCCCGCCTTCGTCGTTATCCTGATCTCCGGACACAACCTACACATTTTATCGCCGATCAAAGAAACATCGACCTTAAAATACTAAGTCATTGATTCGACGGAAGAGTAGAGCCAACTACCTCGGCCCAAGTGGATCTAGAGCGTTCGTTGCGGGACAGTGAATCGGTTCTTCGTCATTGCCGAGGCGATCAAGAACAGCCCCGGCGAAGCCCTTAATCAGATCCTCCATATTCAGCGAGATGATTGCAGAAAGCGAGTGCGCGAATGTGAGTGAGTACACCTTGCAACTCAAGGGGTTGAAGAAGTGGTTGGCTGAAGTAGATGGGGTCATAAAGACGAAGTGATGGCGGGTAATGGCAAGTTAGTAATATCTTTGGCCTGGCAAGCTTGTAATAATTTGAGAAAAATTTGAACGCGCTTGATCTGATCGCCGACAGAAAGGGCGATACACGTGTTGAAGATAGAGAATTTTGAGTATATTTCGGACGGGGCCACATGCAAACTCTTTATTTTAAATTAACAAGCTTATATATATTCTCCCCTAATATAAGCTGTTTCTAAAAAGTTTTTTTTTATGATCCAGAAAAATTTTAAAAATATCTAAATATGTATAAAATTAAATATGTGCTCATGTCTATTTTTATTAAATATATATATAAATATATATTAATAACATATTTTTTTCATATTTAATGAAAAGTAAATAAAAAATTTATGATAAAAATTTAATAACGTAATTTATGAATAATACTAAAAAAATTCTCTTTCTTCCCTGCATATAGGATTAGAGAGAGAGTGTGTATGTGAGAGAGAGGGAGAGATATCATATAAAAAAATATTTTTAACTAGAGTGCAAGTGAAAATAGAGGAAAAAATGAGATATAAAAGTATGTTTGATATGTCAACGAAAATGAGATAAAAAATTTATTTAATATTATATTTATATTTTGAAAAAAATCAAAATACATTTAACCAAAAAACCATGGAAAACCACTGTTGGAGCCAAAAAAAAAAAACATCATTGTTCAAGAAGAAAAATTCACGGGAAAGATATTACAATACTCAAATGTTAAACCATTCAAGCATAAAATCATAAAAATCATATTTCATATAACAAGATCTAAAAATCATGGAACACATTCAAGGAAGAAAAGGATGAAGATCTATATGTTGGAGAAGAAGATGAAGATCACAACCTAGAACTGTGAGCCTTGTCTCAAATGGATGCTTGCATGGTTGTGCTCTTCAAGGTAGTGTTTCAAGTGAAGAATCATAATGGTAGCTGCCGAAGATCTTTAAGACCATGCATTGTCGGTGGAGGATTGGCATTAAGAATCAAATCTGATTTTCATATCTGTTTGATATGCCATCATTAAGAATTATAGTAGTGGTTAACCATTACCGTCGTTGCTACTGGTAGGTTGTTGTCATTGGTGGAGGTGAAGGGTGAGTTAGAGCTTGCAAGAACGATGAAGGAAGGAGAAGGCAAGGGTAAACAAGTCTAAGGAAAAAATGGAACCAATTTCTATTAGGCAAGACATGGAACCTTATTCCATTGATTTTGTTGGAAGTGGGTTTTATAGAAAATTAGGTTCCATCGTACTAGACGAACAAAGATATTGGTTTCACTTGCCCCATCCCAATTCCTTGCTACTAAATGGGCATTAAATCTTACACTTTTAACTATCTCATCAAAACCAATAAAAGTTGGTTAAGATATTTACAACTTCATAATACTTTTATGTATCTAGATTGTTTGTATAGGTCTGTGAATGAAATTTTTTATCATTTTTTTATTTTTTTTATAAACATACGAGAAAAATGGCATTGAGTTGAAAAATTTATGATAGTGTAGAAAATGACTAAGCCTCAAACAACATCAACAGATGACCAAAAATTATTGTTTGGGGTAAAATTGAAACGACGTATATTCAAAAGGGTACAATTGCTAAAGTGAAAAAAGAGATGGGTGAATGAACTGTTGGCCCAGCAAGAGATTCAATAATGATAAGATTGGTCTATATCATGATGAAATAATTTGATCGAATCAGTTCCGATCTTTAAATCCCGTAACTAGGAACCATTATCTAGATCATTGCCTCACATGAGACTCTGGTCTTAATGAGCTTTGAATCTTGCAAGATCGCAATCCTCATCTATAGATATTTTGGGACATGAGCTGGTAGTTACACATTGTAAATAAGAAGAAATGTATCACGCTCAAGCTTAACTTAACCCTTAAGATTAAGGATAGACGTACGATGTAACATCCCAATTTAAATTTTAATAGTTAATTTGGATTAATAAAAATTTTAAAAAATATTTAGAGGTAAGAAAATTAGTAGAAAATGATTATTAAATCTAATTTAGGATATAATTTTAAAAAAATTAAAAAAAATTAAAAAAAATTAATTAATTAAAAAAATAAATAAAATATTATTAAATTATTATTATTATTATAAAAAGAAAGAAAGAGAAAAGGTATGAGAAAGAGGAAGGAAAGAAGGAAGAAAACGTGGAGAAAAGAAGAAATAATAATAAAAAAAGATGTGGGACCCACTAAATTTTTATAAAAACTCACCTGTTCCTTCATTTCTTCATTCCTTCTTTCGTGCGTGAGCTGAGGCAGAGAGAGCATCTGTGAGCCAAGTTCACCGGTGCTGGGTTTTAAGGTAACAGTTTTTAATAGGATATTTAGGGTGTGATTTTAAGCTTTTCAAGACTAAGTAAGTGTTCTAAAATTTTTTCTTAGTCATCCTTTTTCTTTGGTTTTTGAGTTTGTAGTGGTAGAAAATTTAAGATCTGGAAGAGGGATGAATTTATATTGAATAAATATGATTTTTGAGGTTGTCAGTAGTATAATAAATGTTCTAGAGTATAAATTTATTGATGATCTTTGAATCTGTGGCTTATGGATCAAATTCTAAACTAGATCTGAAAATATATATTGATTTATTGAGATTTAGATGATTATTTGGGATGAGAAATGAATTATTATGGTTATAGGATTATGATTCTAAGCTAGAGACTCAATTTTTAATTTTTAGGTATTTTAGGTACGAATTTATGAAATAAAAAGAAAATTTTGATAATAGAAATTAGTTTAGAAGTTAATTTTTAGATTATTAATGTTTATTGATAATTAAAAAAGGAGTTAAAAATTTTACTTAATAGTATTAACTATAGATTTGTATTAAGATTGAGATTAGGAATTATGTTATATTTTTAATTCTATTATTAGAATTATTTTATTAGTTTAAAAAATTAAAACTAATATTTATAAATATATGTTATTTGTAGATTGTATTACTGGTGAAAATTGTGGTGAGAGAGAAATTTTAAGGAATAATTTATTAAAAAAGCCACAAGATAACTATGCTTTTAATTTGTGATTAGTGTTAATTCATATTAATTGGGTGATTATTGAGAAAATTATGAATTTTTTAATATTGTATAATTGTGCAATATTATTATGAATTTGTTTGATTATTGTGGGAAGTGTTGGGAGACTTGCTATTATTGTTGTATTTATGTGCCACGTGGTACGCTCCTATTGGAGCTCAATAGGTGGCTTGTAAGGGCTCGGGCTAATTTACCTTTGGCCGAGTAATTTAGTACCGAGTGAGGGCTACGGCTCGAGGTTAATAGAGAGATATAAGGATGGTTATTTGTGTGTATTGTAATATTTCTTATATTTGTTGAAATTATATTATTTTTAATTCTCACTTAGTAAGCACACACTTAACTGTTTGTATACACTATCATAAATTGGCTTTGGTTACTGGGACTTTTGAGTCTCATTATGTGGTTAACAATTTTCAAGAGAAGAGCCACGAGTGACACGTGGAAGAGTCCCAGAGGCTTAGTGGTATAGATCCACTATCTCTTTTTGGGTATTTAATTTATGATTTATAATGTGTTATATTGCCAATATTAGGGCTTTTTGTTTATTGTCAATTATATGAATATATAAATGTAATCATGCCTTTCAAACTATTTTTATTTTTGGTACAATTTGGATGACTGTAATTTTAATATTAGGTTTACTTTGGATTGTTTAAAATGGCATAATTATAAGGTCAAATAACTGGCTTGTGTTGAAAATTGACTAAATTGCTTATTTTACTTTTTGGGAGTATAAGGATGGACAAATGTGATTTAGTTTACTTGTTGGGAGTATAAGGATGGACAAATGTGATTTAGCCTAATGGCATATGAGAGGTAAAAATTTATCTGAAATGTTATAGTGTGTGAGTTGAAGCCAATTATAAAATATTTTATATTGAAATTATTGATATAAAAAAGTGTTGGGTGGCTGTAACCCAACTATGGTTGAGTTAAATTATTTTTATAAAAAAAAATTTTTGTGTGTTACATACGAGACTATCAAGGGGATATAGTGTATCATGCCACAAATTTCATGGGCCATGCTATTGAATCGTTGGTATTTTATGAACAAGCTCTGGATTCTGTAAGGGCAATTGCTTCAGCTGAATCACTATAGAAGGAAGAGAAAGTCACATGGAGAGGAGTTTCAATGTAATGTCCTCAAAATTTTAGCCTGATTAACTAAGCTTAGCTAGGTGATTAAGTTTATTAGTGAGGTGTATGGCCAGAAAAATCTAACGGGCATATTTGATTGTAATTCTAACCCTGAATATGAGTTCGAAGTAATGTCAGGTTGCTTGGATGCGAAAAAAGGAAAAAAATCTAAAGGGTATAGGTCTGTGTCACACCCTGCGGCATGTGGACCATCCATCGTAGCACATGTGAGGCAATCAGCCAAAGAAGGACCTCTCCAGGCCATGCACCGCTCCGATACATGGTCATTTTTCTATGGATATATAGTGGCAAAACTAAAAAAATAGAAGAAAAACAAAGGAGAAGCGAAAGAGAACCTAAAGAGCTCTATTACGGCTTGAAGAATTAAAGCATTGAGAATGTTTTAAAGCTTCTAAACATTAGTGGTAAGTTTCTCAAGCTTAAATCTCTCTTTCTTTTCTATTTTCTCTAGGTGAAAAGTTGGAGTTTGGTTGAAAAAGATGGTTTTCAGTCTATAGAGGTTATGGGATTAAACCCATTAACTTAAATAAAGTTAATAAGAGTTGATTAAGTTATTTAAACCTAGCATTTATAATTCCATGTGCTTTTGGTTGGTTGGGGCCATAAATGAATGAAAATCCACTATTAATGAGATGGTTAAGGCAATGTGATTTCATTAATAGTAATTTAAGAGTTCAATAAAGTTAATGCAAGTTAGAGGAAGATATGAAGCCTATTGGGTACCCTTGTATGTGAAGGGATTGAATCTTAAGAGTGAAAAAGTGTTAAATTAGATAGTGAAAATTATTTAAAAGGGGTATTGATGATTAATATTATGGTTAAATATAAAGTAAGTGTATTTGGCATCATCTAAGCTTTGGAAGTGTGTATTTGAAAAGTAAACCTTTAATCTCTTAAATGTTTGAAATAACTGAGAGAATTCTTTCTCACATTTTTATGTGTTGAATGATTTATTTTGTGAAATTATTGAAATGCAATTGTGGCATTTAATATTTGAAAATTAAGAATTATGTATATAAGGAGTTCAATGATCACGTGCAAAGTAGAGTTCAATTATTTGAAGTGTGAAAAGTCCCATAAAATAGTGTTTTATGAAGTTCTATGTTATGGTTTATGTAGTTCAATGATTGTGTATTGTAGGGAGTTTAGTGATCATGTGATATGTGAAGTTCAATAATTACATGTAAATGAGGCATAGAATTACTATCCTATCTATAGGCCTCATCTTCTCTTAGATTATTAATGTGTATAATCTTATTTGATATTGCCAACTTAAAAAAACTCATATTTTGACTTACTTGTACTATGTGATTGTTGAATTATGTTATGCATTTTTGGCCCTAACATGGTATACGTATGATTATGAAATTTATATTAGAGCAAAATGCTAGTGCAAACAAGGGTTGTGTATGGCATGTGATTGATGATAATTAATTGATAGATTGTGTAATTGGAGCTCCCTTTTTTGTTTTTGAGATTAAGGGATTAAGTATTGAAAATGTGATGTATTTATTATTTATGAGTCATGATATATTGCACAAGTCCGTTTTAGTCTTCTGGGTCAAGTCTAGAGTGTGTAATTGGCTTTTGGCACTTAAAATGTGAATTTGGAATGCATGTTTTGTGATAAGATTGAAAAGGAGTAGGTTTTTGAGATGAGTATTCAAATTTTGATTGAGAAATATTATGATTGTGAAATCAGTGTCATTAATTAAAGCTAAGAGAAAACTCTTTATAAACACTTAGATCACTTCAATCGGACATCAGATGGAGAAATGTGGCGCTACGAAAGTTCTCCCTAATTGCTATCAAATCAAAATACGTGTCATGTGCCATAGTGCACGATGCCTGAGCCGTGACATATGGTATAGAGGCATACAAGCTGTGGCACATGTGTAATAAGTCGCGGCACATGCCTCCTTTTTGCGCAATTTTTATTGTTTTTCAAATTTTATGCAAATGCTTTAAATTGTTCAAGGATCCCATGCTTTTTTTGCCTGCATTTAATTGCTTTGATTTGGAAAGGTAAATGTTTTAAATGGTATTTGAACTTTGAAAACTCGAGATCTCATTTGTGTAATTTCGATAAATTTGGTAATTTACCTTATTGTTGGGAGATTAGGGTGGATTGGTAAGAGTAACCTTATCGATTTAACTTGAAGATTTTACACTCAACAACAATCGATTGTCAATATTCATCTTAGCATTTCAATTTGTATTTCCAAACAATTTTTTAGCATCAATTTTAACTTCATAACCTCTACAATCTTATACCTTACATATTTTTTATTCATCAAACACTCGTTATTCTAATCTCATTGCATCTTTACATTTGAATAAGTTGTAAAAAGGAAGCTCAAGAATCCTTTGTTATTTCTTGAGACTCAACATCTCTGACACGTCTGGTAATTTTATTATTTACAAAGAACAATTACCATTACATGTTGATAGCATAACTTAAATCTTGAAACTCTAATGAAAATTTGAAGTTTGGTTGAACATTTCCGTGACAAAATTATGAAAGCTTTAGTAAATGCTGTGAAAATTGAATAACCCAGCTACAAAAATTTTAAAGACAAGTTGCAGAGCAGTTTTAAACTATGGAAGGTTTGTTAATTCCATGATGGGAATTAGAAAAAGCTGAAATCGTATTTTTCTGAACTAAACTTTTAAATCTATAATCTTATAAATTTGTGTTCCTTCTACATCATTTCTTTTTTCCTATTGTGCTCCTCCCTATGTTTTTCTCCTTTGCTTTTGGGCCAAAAGAGAGCCGGACATTAGCATTTTCGATCTTAGGCGAATGAGGGTTACCGGCTCTACGACCTCGCAAGGCACTACTGTAGAGCTCTTTGGGTACTACACCTTAAGGGTGCTTTCTCAAATTGAAAATGAAAACTGTCAAGATCTTCGCACTGAAAAATTTAGATTATTATCTATGTTATTTTAGGATGGATTTTCGTTGATCGGGTGCGAACCCGAAGTCAATTCATTCTCTTTGGCTGAAGTCAATCTTCATCAAGACAGCTGACCAAGTCGAAACCTACTGCTCAAGTCTGACGAATGGCATTCATGACTTGGTAAAGTTGAGATCAATCAACTGGGATCGGATTGCCACACTTGGCTTTCCTGATAAAAAAGAGTAGCTTTCCTTACTGATTGAACACTTTCCCCATCTCTCTTTTAAACAGATAGAGTTTTCACCTTGGCTTATCTATCTAAATCCTCCACTTTCCTTGTTCGTTCACCTGCCCGATCTGGTTCACCTTACTGGGTGAGAAATTATTATTGAGTTCTTTTTTTTTTCTTTTTTAAATGATGTATTTCTCCCCCTCACCATCGGGGCTCAAGAGGGCAGATAGCGGGCTCAATTCCCGTGGGTGCTTTTAAGGAGCCCAAAAAATCAGTTTTGGCCAGGCCTCTCAAAGAAAACTCAACCACTAACAAAGATAGGCCCAAAAATTTACCCAAGAAAAGAGACAAAGCCCAAACTGCTAAACGAACCCCGAATTTCGCCGTTCCGGCGTCTGGAATCTTAAGATCAATGTCCTGGGGTGTCAAGAGCGACGAATCTGAGAGAAGGGAAAATGAAGCCAACAAGTTTCAGATTTGGGCTGCTCTTCCTGGTTCAATTGAAATTTCGATTCATCTAGCGCTGCTCTTGAAGAACAAAGCTCGTACTTATGGCGGCAGCGCCGCCGGCAATCGACAGCAGCAACGACACGGTCTTGACCGCTGCCTCACCCCCCCCACCCCGCGAAGCCAACAGCCTTGGCTGCTAGTCTGGGGTATCGTATGGACACGCCACCAAAATCCCAACGTGGGCATAATAAGCCTAAATGTAAACAATGCGGTAATGTTGCTCGTTCAAGGTTAGTTCTCTTTGTCACTCTTTCCGATCTGCTGTCTGAATTTATTTATATTGCAAATGGATAATTGTGGGGAATCAACGAGTGTGTTGAGGGACACCAAAAATAAAATAGAGAATTTTAATTACGAATTTGAAGGCCCCGGGGCACCAGTAATCAACAGTATACAGTGAAGTGTAAAATAGTCGAGAGATGTTATGATAAGCACTCAAAAGTATACAATGCTTGTAGCCCTAGCCATCATAACAAATTAAATTGATAAGGAGGATGAAATAAGGTGCAGCAGTCTTCTACTCTTATTCCACCGCTAAGCGAGCTCATCTTCATGGATCACACAATGCCATTAGGCTCTAGTAATAATTAACTGCTCAGAAGTATTGATAATAGGACGCATGGATTTTATTTGCTTACGCCTAGAATTTATCTTTAATGATTACACAGGGCCAACGTTTATTGCTGGGGTCAGTGACATACCCAGAAAACCCCAGTAGATCACAAGCTCACACATGAACTTATAGATTGCTTTTCTGCTTACTTAAATTTGGGTAATTTGACGAATAAAACCATATTTATACATAACAAACAATAAAATGGACAGCAATTATAAGTCCTTCGAAGGTCATTGTAAACTTCAATGATGGCATATGTATGTTACTGCATTTGGCAAATATGGCTATGATGCAACCTCGGGATATTTTCAGACAAATCAGAAGAAATTAAGGAAGGGGCAGGGAGTAGAAAAGAATTATCCAGCAGATCAGAAATATTATCCTGTGGGTCCAGCAAATGAGGATTAAGTCATTATGTGTGTGGGGTGGCTTAGATTCAGTTTAGATGCTAGGATCATCTTTTGGCTTGCTTTAATATTTTGTTGATTGTTTTGTTGGCACTCAGATCATGTTTTGAGAGTTAGACATAAGTGAGGAGAGTGCTGGTCTCTTGAACACCAGTGAGGGATCTGTTATGTTACTTCTATTTCTTTTGCTGTAATCTAGTATCTGCATTAGGGAATAGGGTTTTGGCCAGAATCAGTGACTTCCCTTTTTGTAACACTGATTCGGTATTATGCATTAATATCAAAACCTTAGAATTTCCCTTGTTTGGTCAGTTCTTCCATTTATTTTTCTGATAAGTTATTATAGAGCAGCAGAGCTCTATCAGGCTAATTTTTTTTCCATGCTGCTGCTTTCTTATGATTAAGTATTTGCTAGGATAATATATTGTTGATAATGTGCATGGGCTGCTTCACTAATTCATTTAATCGTAAATTACAGTAACGCTAGGTCAAACTAATTTTTTTACAACATTTGGGAGTGTTTTCTGACTTCTGAGGTTAGATCCGGTCATAGGTGATATGATGAAAAACAATGTAACTACTATTATAATGGATGGAATCTAAGTCAACAGAAAAGCTCCGTAACGAGTGTGCAAAGATATTAACTTCAGGCACTATGTTGTTGCTGGTCCTGATGTGTATCTTTCACTGTGGGCCTGCAGAGAAACACAATTTCCAAAAGAGGAAGTGAAACAATGGAAGTTCTATTACTTTTGGAAGCTATACGGTCATAATAAATTGAGATGATCGTGTTCATTCTATATTGTTTTGATGAGTTTTATCAATTTTGCAGGTGTCCATTTGAATCATGCAAGAGCTGCTGTTCAAGAAATCAAAATCCATGTCATATTCATGGTGTGTTATCTTTTCAAACACCATGCTTTCTTAAATTTCCTTTTCTGATGTTTTAACTATACCAAGCAATATCTCTTCCCCTGCACTCCCTCTGGGTTGCTGGAACTGTGTGTTATGACCCCATGATACGCCCTGTGCCTTGTTAAAATTGCATAAGCTGAAGCATGAGCCTTTACAGAATCCAAAGTGGAATCAAAATCTTCAACAAAGTCATTGGGAATGTTCCAGCCCGTCTAGGGTGCCCCATTAAAGCCACTAGTGCCAGTATTTTGTTTGTTCTAGAATATTTCTTGGAAGGAAGCCATCCCAAAGTCACCATTGAGAACTTTTAGCCTGCCTTATTTGGCTGCAATGATCATTCATCTCCTTCTAATTGAGCTAATTTCTTGGAGGGCAAACCTCACCTTACATTGCTATCTCGACATCACATGCCAAGGAATTTCAAAATTGGTTTGAGCTCTTCTTTATTGGCAAGTCGTGACATATAAAATTGTTTGACCTTGTGACCAAGGCAATCTTTTTGAAGCATCTGAGTATAGCTTTGACAAAGACTGTAGAGTCACAGTCACTGGTAAACGTCAACTTCAACCAGCCTTGGTGTTCTCTCAGAACAAAATCATCTCCCTTCTGGGAAACAACCTAAGATAGTAGATTAAGGCATTAGGCTACATAACACAGGTAAGCATTGCCTTTTCTGAAATCCCATAGGCACTGTGAGTGTTGAGAAACACTAATCCTAAGGTCAGTTAAGTGACCATGTTGCCTTTTTGTCCTTTGTACACCTATAGCTTTCTTTCCCGTTCTATCCATCATGCCTATGCACCTTGTTATCTGTTTACTTACTTAATTGTTCTTCTGAAGTGACCCACCAATTGATAATTCTTGTTTATATCAAAGCAACTATACACTATCCATGAGCAATTGATCCACTCACTAGTTTCTTAGCTCGCTAACTTCCACTTTGTCAGGTTGTGTCTCTTTCACATTTTCCTGGGCATTGCAGTGCCCTTTAGTCATATAAATCTCCCCTTGTCACTTGCTTTGCTGCATTTGTTTTCCATTCATGTGCTCTCAATTGATGTTAGCAAGTCCTGCTGTCTGTCTCACTCTCCAGTTGCACTGCTTTCATTGCACTTTTAAGGACTACTGTTGATACTCCCAGTGATCATAAATGAAATTATCATGCTCATCCTTCCTCTGCCCATTAAGCAAGTATTGTGTGCATAGCTCTCAGCTCATACCTATGGCAATCTCACCTATCTTAGTCTTACACCCTAAACAGAGGTGTTCGTTCTTTTTTCCAGTAGTCTATACCCAAAGTTATTGCCAGTGATGTTATTGATAGTATTGTAACATAATGTCATCTAATTATGGTGCATTCCTGCCCTACATGATGTTTTAAAAGTTCATGGTATCAATTCATGCAAACAGATAGTATTTAGGGATGATTATTTTGTAGTATTTTTGTTGTATAAAGTGCAATTACCTTTGACTGGCATAAGTAAAACTCTATCCCACCTTAAAAGAAGATGAATTGAGAAAAAGAAACAAAAACCAAATGCTGCTGTTCTGTTGGCAATCTATTTACTTTCTAGTGCCCTAAATGATTTTCCATATTTTGGTCTTAATCTCATTTTTAATATCTTTTGGTTAATGCAGTGTTGAAAGCAAATTCAACTATTCCTGACAAGTCACCATCTTCTAGTGCTGCTCCACTTGAACAGCAATCCTCTGAACCATCTGCATCATCGTAAGTTCTGGGTGGCAACTCCCCTTTTCCCTCCCAAATTTTGCATCACACCCATCCTTATGATTTTACATTTTTAAACATTTTGGCTTCCCTGAAATTTCCCGTTTCAGAAATTAGGAGGCAAGTTCCCCCCCCCCCTCTTTTTTCCTGCAGTTCAGGAGTGCCTTAAATAAAAGCGCAGCTGGATTTCTTGTTTGACAACAGTTAATGACATCAAGTATGCTATTCAGTAATTGCTCTAATTTGTTTATGTGTTTCCAAACTCAGATATCTGACTAGAATCTGTGTTTCTTGTTGCTATAAAAGAATCAAGTAATGCCTTCTTTTTTCCTGGGTGAAAATTATTGAATGCTTTCTATATCTTTCATATATTCTTTTTAAACAGCTATCTTTTGTATGTCCTTTCTGTCCAACACCTTTATTTTTCACATCATACCAATTTCTTATTGCAACATTATTCCTGAGATTTCATTTGTCTTTCTAGCAAGCTTCTTGGCAGTGTTTATATCTTCTTGTCAAATCACTTATTTTTGAGTTGCGCATTCAGCAATTAAAGTGCCTTTCCTGCTTTTATTGATAGAGGACCTTTTTAAAACTGATATATTTATTTCAGGAATTCAAGTAGAGTTGCATCCCTTAGACAACTTTCCAACAGTTTTACCCAGTTCAATAATTTACATGTTTCACTTCGGTCAAGGAAGCCACTAACTAGGAAGGTAAATCTAAATCATAAAAATGTGCTTGTTTGAGAGCTTGTTCTGTGCTGTCGTATTCTGTACTGAAGTGATAAGAATCATTACAGGATGCTGCAATCATTAATAAATGGAGATTGTCCAAGTTAAAGGAATATACGGAGAGAGACATTGAAGTAGAAAATGATGCTTTTGACAGATACATGCAAAATGTAGTTTTACTGGAAGAAGTTCTATCTGTGGAGTCCCTGGAAGACAATTCACCTTCTGCATTGGTATTTAATCTGACTTCAACTGGGAACAGCGAGATGATGATCCCATGGTTGAACTTGCTTCTAAGATCTAACTCAACAAGAAGCGATAGTGTGAGAAATAGAATAAGACAGATTGTGGATGAGGGACTAAAGAAGCTTCTGAAGTGCGCTGTTAACGGTGACGTTGAAGAACCAAATGAAGCATCAAAAAGGCCAAAAATTTTGAGGACTGAAAGGTTATCAGATATAAGTGATCTTTGTGATAAAATTAATAAAGCTAGGAACGAGGACGATTTGAAATCATGCTTGGGAATGAAGTCTCAACTCATCAACTTGGATGAAGGCTCGAGGAAACCGGAATTTGAAGACAAAGAAACGCACAAGCAGACTGTAGAAGGTGATTTGGCATCAGCGGAAGAATTAGATTATTTCTTGCCAAAATTGGCTGTTGCTGGAGAAATTGATCAAGAAACTCTCAACAACATAGACAAACACTTTGGTTCCCTTGAGCATGTCGATCAGTTGTGAGGCTAGATTTGTGAATACTTAGGCTTCAGCTAGATAAATAGAAGTCTATGTTGTATTATTTATTGCATTATAATATGGAGACCGCTGCTTCATCTTGTTTGGCAACGTCACGTTTATAGTTCCGTTATCTACTTGTATGTTGCCTCTAATGCTGTAATGTGGTGTTATCTGCCAAATGACGCTGCTTTAGTTGTCTTTATGGTATTGCCCACCCCCCCTCCTGGCGCCAACACAAGAAAGTTGAATCAGTATCACTAGTTGGGAAACGGTACATGTTCATTCTGGTCGTGGTTGACGGCAGAACAAGCAAGAACGATGCACAATGTATGCACACTTGAGCAGAAGGGTGATTGTGTCTGCTGCCGGATGGTCACTTCGAGGTTGAAAGATAAAGGCCCCTGATACTGTCTCCCTCATTCCAAGCTGGAACACCTCCATAGGCTCTGGGATTTATGACTTGCTTAAAATTTGACTTCTGAAGGGAATGCGTAAAGCTGCTTACTGTCGTAGGACACCCTCATTGAGCGAAGATAATGGGTCAATGACAACACCCAATAAAGGTGATGAAAAAGCCGGCTGTAACGTACGCCAACTCTGTCTCTGGATTGCCCTGCTCACCATATTTCAAGTGAAGAAACCCATTGGAATATGTGCTCTCCACTCATTTTCTCTCTCTAACGCTGGACAAATAAAGGGGAAAACCTTCAATCATGGATGCTATTATCGTCAGCAATGTGCGATAGCTTGATCCACTGGAAGCCGGGTGCTTAAAATTTAATTATATGTGCTGTGGCAGCCTTTCGTTTTGGTTAAATCTAGTTTGACTTTGGAAGAAATAAACAGATAAACAATCGATTCAAACGACTATTTGGTTTTCTACAATGGGGATCCAAAGGCACAAGCCGTTGAGACCATTGCCACAGAATTCCATCTTCTTGTATATTTTGCTTTGTGGGTTTTCTTAATGGACAAGTGCTTTTTCCTTGGCTTTATTCTTCTACATAGATCCGCAACTACTTTCTTGGTGGGTATAAAACTTTTAATTACATTATTTCCCCTTGAAACAAGGCTGTTAATACTTTTTAAAGTTTCAATCAATGGCTCTACTCATCTGAAACATCCACTTTTCAAAGAGTCTTTGTTAATTTATTTTATCAAACCCACCCACGTTTATGGTGCTCAATGTTGTCAATCCCTTGATGATAATAATGATTCTCTCTCACAGGAGTTTGCTTCGTTATGGAGTATAGACTATAATAATGTTAGCCCACCATAAAAGGGAAAGGAGCCATTAAAAGAAAAGAAGAGCCAATCCAGAGTGGGAAAATGCTCATCATGTAATCAACACAATCTGAATTTATTTTACTTTTCAACATGGGTGATACGTGGTGCAAATTTCTCCACTCTTAGTCACCTTTTTTTCCCCCCATCTTTCACACTCTCTTGATAAAAATTCACGTTCAATCGTTCATAAAAATTAAAATCATGCTTTGAATAATTTGTAAGGGGAAACCAAACATGCTCTAATTCTATGAAACCATGTATATATATACAGAGAAAGCTCAGGATACATCACAATTAAAAAAAAAATGGAGGCTTCCCTAAATAAAGGATCATTAAGAAAAACAACATAGACGTGAATGCAACAGACTGTGTGCTCTTACTTAGATATGTGGGATTAAGTAGAGAGAATAATATATTTGTTGCTGTGGGATATGGTGGTAAGGTTAGATATTCGTCTTTTTGAAAAGCAGGGCCATGTGTGAATGTGCAGCCAAGAATCGTGGGTTGTTGGCCATACGAATCATGACTTCTCTATAATCGTGAATTGGTACAGTTGAATCTTATTAGGGTTTGTGACTTATAGTGATTGATGCCATTCCGATGCCATTGGTTTTTGGACTAAGCTGTGCTACGCATCACAGCTTTCACTTCACCATATGATCCCATATATAGATTCAATGGAAAAAAATTGTCACTAATAATAATAAATAAAAACGATAATGATCTATTCCTGTCAAGAGCCAGGGGGCCACATGGTTGAGCACACTATTCTAAAATATATTAAGTGACGAATCTCACGTCGTGGTGGTTGATGCATCAGATAAAGATACTCTTCTTTTCTTGGCTAATGATGCATCTTCACATATCCATATAGAGCTCCAAACTCTCAAGTTAACTATACACTAGCATTTAATTAGTATGTTAATTACTTCCCCTACTCTTCATTACGTGCTTTTGGCACCGTGACTCTTCTTTTGTACTTTTCTACATAACCATGTATTTACCGAATAAAATATCAGAATTCAGAACCAAGGGGCTATATATTGGATTTATCAGGATGGGTTGTTTGATTTTTATAGCAATTAGAAGTACCGTATTTATCTCTTCATGCCAAACTAATTATCCTTTTCCCTTTGTTTTTTGGCCATTCCTTTACGTGCCTTTAGGTTCTGCTTGATTTACAAGTATGTTCTGCATATCAGTGACTCGATTACCTGTTAGCCGACTAATTGCCGGATTGTTTAATTAGTCATAATCACTTCCAAAGCATTATATTGATCACAACTCAGAATATGTGAATCCGTTGAGTTATTCTTTGAATTTTTAATTTGTTTTATAAATTTGTTAGCGATCGAGGCGTATATTGAGAAGCCCATTGAGGTTGAGATGTAATGTATTAAAAATAATACAAGTTATGAGGCAATTTGTCTTGGCTTCTCTAGATAGTGAGCTTCTAAATGGCACTAGCTAATAGCTAGCTACTCTCCAACTGTTTTTAAAGTGAAAAAATAAGACATTTAATTAGGTCAATGCTAGAGATAAGAAGGATAAAGTAAAATAAAAATAATAAGCATAACAAACGAAGATGGCATCAGTATATTGTTTGTGGAAGGAAATTAATTAACCTGATCACAAATATGTGTATATGAAGCAATTTGATATTTATCATTACCACCTAAGCCCATCATCTATTGTGGGGTGAGAATGACAGGTTAGAGGAAGGCAATAATCTAAATTAAAAAAATGGAAAAAAAAAAAAGCGCGTCTCATTATGATGCATGGTCCCTACCATGCCCTGAAATCCTTCAACACTTTGCAATGTCCTACTCAAGCAACCCAACATGTATCCGAAAGATAGAAACTGGTTAATTATCAAACATCAATGATCAACATATGCCTTAATTAAGAAATGCTTAATCAAAAACAAAAACCAACAATGCTTCATAGACACGGCGCGCAATTAGGGTTTTGTGTGATGAAGTCAAAGAAGGCAGGTGGGAAAAAAATTAAAATCATGGAATAACCAATTCCACAAATCACACAAATATTGATTGAGGACGTGCTGTGGAAGGGATTCCATAAAGCCAAATCCGAACAAGAAAATTCCAAATCCAAACACAGCTTAATTAACCTCATTTTTCCAACTCCTAATCGATGACTATATGCCGTCCATACATGGCGACCTCAATTATAGTACAAAAGCTTCATAATAGAGGTTATAATAATTCCACCTTTGAATCCAATTCAGCGTTCTTCTCTCTCTGCTAAATTAACCTCTTTACCAAAAAGGGATTTTGATTGGTGGGTTTGTATTTTAAATCAAAGAAACAGTTGAAGGATATAGATTGGAGTTTAACTTTAGCTATACAAAAATTGAAAGCAGAAACATCCTTATAAAAGCAGGCCTATACAAGACAAAACTCATATTATTAGAATCAGATAACGATATGGCAACCCCCGATTACCTAAAAGGACAATTCATTGTACAGCAAGTAGAGAATTTCGATTTGTTTTTATTTTCAACTCTAAGTAGTGCTTCTAATAATCATACTCAATATAAATTAGTAATTAATTACATCACAAGCAAATAATTATCTCAAATTTTACAGTCCACATACACGAGAATTAACTTTTAGGATTCACTCACCGGCTTGATCGATGCTATGCTGCTATATACACAATCATGCCTGATTGATTCGACCATTGTTCTTTTGCTTATTGTTCCTATCTCATGTGACGTACAATTCAAAGAATTGCTCATTAACAGATGGAAAGATTCTTCAAAATTCTCTGTATATACGAACAAATCAGTAAATCAAGTGATTTTGTAATTAAAGGCTTGGCTTCTCTCATCTTCTGGCGTGGTTCATGTCTCCTCAACAAGACTAATATTTAAAATCACTTCGTCATTTTTTCTATAAAAACACCAAAAAGATATTCATTGAAACTCGTTGTCTAACGAGCGATGTATTATTTATCGAGTCGTCTTTTTCAGATTCCATTTTCTTTTATTTTTCTGGATTCAATTTATCGTCTAGATTCCTCCAAAATTCGAAATGACCGCGCGTATATCTTTGAAATTTCAGATGTATGATATGAAATTGATGAACTAAATTGATTCGAAAACGAGATTTCTGGTTAATTACTTGCCGTTTACTTGTATGAGCCAAACAATTGGTTGTTATGTTAAAAGGAAAAAGAAGGGGGCGGGGGAGCAGGCTATGGATAAATTTGACTGTGTTATCAAACCAAACCTTTGTTAACGTTTTTGTCCTGTGCAATTCACAAAGCTTTGAATAAAAGAATTTCTATGGGTGTATGATTGTCCAGTTCTCCTGCGTCGTTTTTGTAGACTTTCTTTGTTGACACGTAAACCCTAATAATAACGTTTAACCTACACGGACAATTCATGAAGCTGAGCGATCGATGTAAATGGAGCATATAATTTTTATATCTATGTGTATATGACTTGATCATATAGGCATGAATGTTAAAATTTAAAAATTTACTCGTCCTTCCATTGGTTTCTCCACTCGTTTCGTGACAGGCATTATTTTCCATCGGAAAGAAGAATGAGCTGGACTTTAGTTATTTTACATGTTAAATATCTTTCTCTCCTATTGGAATCTTATGTACATCAAGCCAAACACTAACTACCAGTCTTCTCACACTGCATCCATTTCTCGTTTCCATTATTGACCATGTGAGCTACACCAGAGGACATGTCTATAACAGGGAAAATGAGTGAGTGAGAGTGTGCGAGAGAGAGAGAGAGAGAGAGAGAGAGAGAGAGAGAGATGGTCGTTGTGACTTGTGAAGGAGAGGACCAGGCCAAAGTGGGACACACACACACACAAAAACTTATAGAACAAAGCTACATGGAAGGCTATAAAGCAATATATATATATATATACATACATAAAATGGAACATGGGTGAGGACAAATAATATAAATATGGGGTTGCTGAATGGGTGGATCGGTTCATTACACTGCATTCCCAACAATGATTAAGAAAACTAAGCGCCAAATTATGGTTTGCTGAGAATGAGATGGCTGCAGCAAGATGCAATAAGCACGACCTAACCCACTCTTTTCAAAGCAGATATGTGCCATAATACTATTTGGTACAGATATAGATTTATGTCAAACTCACATCACACAATATGTGTGTGTGTGTGTGTACGTACCTACCCATCGTTTTAAATATTCAAACCAGCTTCATTTTTCCCACTGACCTTGAGGTCTACGTACACGTACAGCCCCACCTTCCAATTTGGATCTGTACGTGTCAGCAAGGCTCCTAGTTAAACCTGAACCGTGAATGTGCAAAGATGACGAATCAATCTGAGAGCAGAAGGAAAGTTAAAAGAAAGACGAAACGTCAAGAGTGAGATGAGATTTAGATCTAAAAGGAGATGAGATAATTAAAGTATATAATTAAGGGTGGCAAAACAGAACAAGGTGGGGGGAAAAGATCCAAGGATTGTCGAAGGTCCTCAATATTTGTAGGGTTGTGGCCTTGTGGGTGGCCTCCACGGATGCCAAAGAGTCACATGCAGGGCACATGACATGCTTGATTTGAAGGAATCGTGGCCAATAGTATGATGGGCGGTGAAAACTGAAAGAGATGCCAAGTGCCATACAAGTGCATGAAAATTGGGCAATAAGTTGGGGCCATAATTTTGATAGTTAGATCCAATTAATTATTATGGG